ATGTCAATGTTGGAACCGAATCTTGATCATGATTACTCTCTCTCTTTGTTTTTTTTTTTTTTCTGCGAGTTTTACCACTAATTTACGTTGCTCTAAAGTCTTTGTAGACACCTGACAATTTTCACTGAAACACAGTTGTCCATTTGCGTTGATAACCTCATGATCGCGTCAATTTAACTCTACTCTGCTTATCTCTGAACACCTGCTCATTTGATTTTTCTCCGAATTCTTGATTTGTCAACTGTTTAGGTGCGGTACAGATGTCTTGATACAGCGGAATCGTATTTTGTGTGTGTGTGTTTATTTCATTCCGGTTACTTAGACCCGACTGTAGTGGGAACATCTGCGTCATCTGTGTTTCTAAAGCCACACATTTTTTTGCAAAACACCAATATTTTAAAAAGGGATCTTTCTGCTTCGAGAAATTTGCTGAGCGAAGCTGAAATGGTACAAAAATCAGGTATTTTTTGTAATCTCCAAATCAATAATTTTAGCTCCCCAAATCTATGTTCGATCTATATCGGTTCTGTACGCCAGTAAAGTAGAAGAAGGCCTAGTAAGTATTGTTATATGGTACAACAGTCTGCGATCCATATGGCAATGGATATTTGTTAAGTCGATGCAAAGTCAGGGTCCTACCGGTTTTTCTATGAATTTCGATGGATATCTATTTGTAATCTTGTTGTAAAACTGCTGAGCTGACAACTCACTTCCAAAATAAAAATTAATTTTCTAGTTACATAGGATCCACCGATGACGGAAAAGCTGATTTGAAATCCTTGTTGGTGTTGAAAGGTTGGAAAATGGGCTAGAACATCATTTAAAGAGAGGACTAAGAAAGAAGCTGTTTCGTTCTCATAACAATCGGGTCTACGTTACCGCAACGAACTCGGATTTTTATCCGACCAAGGACTGTCAACTCGGCAGAGTTCTGTCGCAACAACAAACGAGCTGCTTTTAGGCAGCCTGGTCAAAAGGAAAAGGAATATAAGATATGGTATAAAATTCCGCTTCTGCTCCAGTTACAACGAAGCTTTTGACCTCAGAAAAGCTCTTCTGAAACTCTATACATTATTGTTTTAAAGATTGTCTAAACACATGGACGATAGGCCTGGATATTATCTGCAGCGAAGGACAGGAAATAAGGTCTTTCACCGGTGTCGACCCTAGAGAAAGGGTGTTAGATGTGTTGGTATGAGCAGGCATACAAAGAGTTTTTCGAAAGCGGCACCAGGGTGGAAAACAGTTCTGTGCTGCATGCCCTTACTTGCTTGAAAACGCAGCAGTTGAATAATTAGTGGCAAATATTTGATAAATCTGGTTTTATAAATTTGAATTAGCGCACGTTTCAGCGCACCGGGATTCACCGATGCATTTATTGTTCGAATCTAATTATTCCTTTGTGACTCAGACGCAAGCAGTTGCGCTGGCAAAAGCATATACAATTTCATACAAAATGCAAAATAACTGTTGCTTCCTCAGCTCGCATGCAAAGCAACAATAGAATTATCATTTTCCTGAGTTGGTTTTGAAATTACAAGCGACCCATTTTTACTAGGCTGAAGCAAATAGTAATATCAAGCTTCAATACACCAGCCAGCTTATCGCCATTAGTTCGAAATTATCGGCGCAGCTTGTTTGTGCTTGTTTTCTTAAAAAAAAATTACGCATGATGAGGCTTTTGATGATTTTTAATAGCAAAGAACTCATAAATGGGCGCATATATTTTATACAGGGTGTTTACTCATATGTGTTCAGAAAAAACTTAATGCTGCATAATTAAGTAATCACTTAGTATATATTTGTATTTGCATATGTACAGCGTAAGTTGTAAGTAGGAACCTCTCTTCGTCATATTCACTTAAAGTACGAGGTGGATTCAAAGAGTTATGAGACTACACATTTTTCAAACAAAATTCTTAGTAAAATACTACATTCGATGCACCGAAACCCTTTAAATATTTTGGTTACTGTTATGATACGATTAAATATAAACAAAACAGCACAAATTTGATAGTGAAGCTGAACGTTCTCAAGAAGTCAATGACGAAACTTGTTTACCAAGACCAAACTTTCTGAAAAATGGTCGAAAACTATCAATGCGGCATCATTCTTCAATAATATTAGGCCAAACTTTCTGAAAAATTGCAATTGACCCGAATTTATACCCGATCAAAGACTACCAATGCGGCATCATTCTTCAATATTCTTTAGATTTTTTTACAAGAAAAAAAGTTATTTTTTTATATAGACCAATTTTTCTGAGGAAACGGAATGTACACAGATTTATATCTGGTCAAATTTTGAAAATTCTACATAATTTTAGAACAAAAAATTTATCTAAAAAATAACCGAATAAAACTTGGATCGAAACCGATCGACCGATAAAATTCCATGAAATTGAACTTTCTTCTGTTGGACAATTATTCTCATGTCAGTCGGGTCGCTTCGTTATCGGAACGAACTCGTATAAATCGTTCTTACGATAGTCGAGTCGAGTAGACGGTACAGGCTCGGAATTAATCGTTCTACCGATCGTCGATGACCCGAACTTGGATTTCTTGTTGCCTTGCCACAGACGGGATTCTAATAAACTGAACGAACTCGGATTTCATCTTCTTTCCTGTCGGTTGGGTCTCTCTGTACAAAAAAAAAAAAAAAAAATCAGATTCACTGTTTCATCGTTACCCCGACAGTTGGGTCCGTTTATAAAGAAATAAACTCGGGTCTTACGTACTCTTAACAGACGATGATGTTAATGGAACGAACTCCCTTTTATCATACTGACGACCGACAGACTTTTATTTAACGGAACGATCTCAGATTTTATCGCTCTCTCGATGGTTGAGTCCATTCATCAACGAAGCGAACGCTGATTTATTGTTCTCTTGACAGTCGGGTATCTCGATAACGGAATAAACTCGAATTTATCGTGCTCACGACAAATGTTCGAATACGAACGAAACGAACTCGGATTTATGGTTCACAAGATAGTCGGGTCTCTCCGTAATCTTAACAAACTCGATTCTGACGTACTAACTATAGACGGAAGACTACTACTAGAGAAGTGAATGGAAAAAGCTCCGCTTTCAAATATAATTCTCTCGAATTATGTAGGATCTATTATATCCTGTCCCAATCAATAATGAATAAAAATTTTTCACTTAAACTAAATTTCAAAAAACAAAAAAGTTTTTGATAAAAATTAAAAGTCACCAAACTTTTTGGGCACACCTCGTATGTATTTGATTATGCTTTAGTGAGCGTAAACTCGTTCTAAACATCCGAACTTCGTTTGCAGATCAATGGCATGTTAATGGTTTTGTTTTTATTGTTGTTGAAGCTCTGATTTGTCAATATTATTGTTTAGAAATTTTGTTATTTTTAACTTTGTCGACTTTTTTCTCGCAAATTTGGACTTTGTGTTAGCAATTGATAACAAATTACCGTATATATAACTAAAATGCTTTATTTATAAAGTATATAAGCGTATATGTATGTATGTACATGCATATATGTATATAATATAACACATAATTGTGACGTCATCAAATATTCTGGATTTTTCAGTATTTTTTCTGATTGAAGTGTTTCAGTGAATACAAAGCGCGCTACTGAAACCTACAAACACACACATACAAGCTAAGGATGCACACCATTGCGTATTAACCCATAATTAACGCTGAATATGGTCATAAAAAAGCGAAAATATTTATTTATAAAATTAATTAGCCGGCTTTGCAGAAAATTTCCAATATATAAAGTAGTTTTTATGAGTAAATCAGTAAATCTCGGAATTTAGTTGGGAAAAAGTTTATAGGTTATAAAATTGAACAATAAACAGGGGAATATTTCGTCGAATGAGAGTACGTCAAATATTTTGGTACTTGGGACTTTTTGTGATTATGTCATGAGCTTGTTACGGTGACCGTCAATAATATCATTCATGTAAATTTGTAGTGTAGTATATGTGCATATGTATGTATGTATGTGACAAACGTGGTGTGAATGTTAATTGTTTGTAATGACCTTTCCAACATGATTTGTGGCAGTTTTTAAACAGCGCCGACAATTTCTGCACATGCACATAGAAACATATTTAATGCATATGTATATACAATACATAGGCACATTTGTTATAAATTGCCTACAAAATGTAAACTTCGAATTTTTTGATAACAAAAGTTGTTATTTAAATTTTATTTGCTTAGCAGCTACATACATACCTGTCTCTTATACACATCTAGATGTGTATAAGAGACAGGTATATACAATACATAGGCACATTTGTTATAAATTGCCTACAAAATGTAAACTTCGAATTTTTTGATAACAAAAGTTGTTATTTAAATTTTATTTGCTTAGCAGCTACATACATACATACAAATTTTTGTGTTTTTTATGCTAAATATTATGTGAGACACCAAGTACAAAGGCATAAATATAATAATTTAGTAACTTACATACAAAATACATACAGATAGAGCAAATAAGTGATAAAAACAAGTTGAAAATTAAATATTTTTTTATATCACTTAAAAAATTTAATATTTTTGCTGCACATCTTACATTTTTCTCTTAGTTCATAGTTTTTTTTTAGTTTAAGATATTTGTTTCTTAATATTAAAATGTTTTAAAAACTTTTTTTGCATATTTCTCACATGTTTTTTAATAATAAAATATTTTAAAAAAACGTTTTTTTCACTTTTTGTTCAGTTTTTACATGCACACTAAGACTTGTGCACAATTTTCTTAAAAATATTAGTCACACTAAATTTTAAGTTAGCTTATATATTAGTAAAAATGTTGTATCCACGAAAATTTGTTCACTCTTATGAAAAAAGGCAGCATTAGTTTAAATATATGTTATAACTTTAACATATTAATATTATGTATATATAGTGCTTTTATAAATTTATAAATTTTCTTTTTTTTTAATAAATGTTTGCAATACATATTTTTTTTAATTTATGAAATATCATTTTTTATAATTTTTTTTTATTAATGAATTTTTTTTATAAATTTTTTTGTTTTTTGCACTCAAAAGAATTCAAAAGAATTTCAAACAAAACTCGGTGCTGGTATATTGATGATACCATAGAATAACGGTAATTTGGTGGCATCATGACGCACTAGCAACAGAAATGGTGTATCAGCGCGGAAGAGCACATTGCCACCCGAGCGTTTGAGATAGGTCGCCGTTGCGGCGGCGCCCTCTGTGCCATTTTCATCCACCACCAAATCGACCTTATGTACAATATCGCCCACATAAAGGTCGGAGAGCAAATTATTGCTGCCATTGCGCTTAAAACTCCACTGCTGCAACAGTTGCTCTGTAATGGTGGCTGGATTGTTTTGTAATAATTGTTGTGGTGTGTTGAATGCTGCTTGTTGCAATAGTTGCTCTGTATAGACAGGTGCATTTTGCTGCGCCGTGATGGGAGGTATACTTTGTGGAAAACGCTCCGTTGTTGGTGTGCCATCTGTGGGAAAGACGACGTTACGTTTCCCACGCGGCCACGTTCTCGCGTGCAAATTATTCAAAGGCGCTGCACTGAAACGCTCACCACTCGCGAGTACATCACGCAGACCAAGCGCACGAAAAACATGTTTCATATTAATATTCTGTGATAAATGCATTTTCGGCAAAGCGAAGATGGCATTTTGATAGACCATCTTCGAGATCATATCTTCGATTTTCTCAGCGCTAAGATCCTTTAGAAGCCTACGCAAGACATGACGACTCGAGTGGGACGGTTGTATAACATACATGCTGGTGAAGTTGTTTACATATGGTAGTCCAATTATTTTGCAATCATAGTCGGGTGAAAAATAGTAAGGGTAGGCGCCGGCTGTACCCATCATTTGTATTTTGATGGGTGGCTCTTGCGGACCGTCCGGAAAGAAATTATCAATTATGGTAGCACTCTGTATGAAGGGACTCTCCCAAAATCCACGGAAATACAAAGCGCTCGTTAGTATGGCATCGGTATCGGCGGGTATGCTGTCCGCTATGATACCGTTTATTTTGCCAAATGTGTTTTTGTAAACCCAATCATTGATGTAATCGCGTGCTTGCGGTAATTTGAAATCCAGTGGTATAACGTCAGACTTGTAAATCGAATTGATAACATCTCTGCAAAAACAAGAAAACAAAATTAAATTGTATACATGTGTGTATGTGCGTGTTTGTAGCTTACCGGTAGTTCGTATTCAATTCATAACCGCTTTTAATAAACAACCCGTTTACGATTTTTATCACATTACTCATGTTAATTGCATTTTCTGCGCTTATTTTCGGTTTATTTCGTATACTATACGCTACATTTGTGTTACGCCAATTATCGCGATTTCTTGCCCGCAGCGATATCGCATTATCTTGCATTTCCTGTAACATGGCGCCGAACTCCAAGTGAAACGCATTAGATAATGCATCGCTCAGTGGTGGCACATCCAAACGGAAGATGTGCCTTAAATCTTCGTAACTCCTGCCTTTTGATCCCAACATCAACATGACCATCGATGACATTATGCTTATGGGTGAGAAAATCGTTGTTTTGCCATAATGCATATCCTCATTTAGTAGCACGGCAATATTATGTGCGAAATTCAAAGCACTGTGCGCTACCAAATCGGCTATTGTTGCTCTTTTTGCGCGATTTATTGGCACTTCATTAACTGTAGTAGCATCCAATGTAGTGCCAGCAGTTGGCAAACCATCCGCATTCGTTTTTGCAAAAATGCATCCTTGTATGCAAATTACAAGGATGAAAAACCTTGGACTTATCATTGATATGGAACTTGTACACAACACAACACAACACAGTACGGAATTGAATTAAATCGTTGATAAGTAATTCACTGCCAGAGCTTATATTCACAATGGGAAATTCCGGCTTAGTCAGATACGGTTGAGCTGTCAAACAGGTCTTTCCCATTAGCGGTCAGCGTAGCCACCTCAGCGCAATGTTGTTTGGCTTGTGACATTTAGCGAAGCTTTAACGATCTTATTAAGTATACGAATCTAAAAACTGACAAGTAAATATTTACAAATACAAAATTTTCACAACAGAATTGATAACTGCTAACGATTATTAATTTAAAAAAATAAAAGAAAAAATTAAGGAAATAAAATTTTAAAAATGAAAGAGGAAAGAAAAAACTTGTGGAAAAAGCGTTGGCTTCGGCTTCAGCTATATTACCCTCCACAGGAGCATTCATTATATCATTAAAGGGTATAAAAAGACGATTATCTTCATTTTGATCGCTTCGTATCTACGGTAGCTATATAGATACTACAGTGGTCCGATACCTGCGATTCCAAAAAACGAATGGAGTTTTGTGGAGTAAAGGTTGTGTCATGCTGTTCATTTATATCTATATTTTATAGGTACTCCAACGTTTCTTTCTGGCCGTTACAAACTTATCCCAAGCCCGTATTGCCCGTTCGGGTCATAATAATTAAAAGCTTAAAATTATAAAAAATTAAAATTATATTTTTGTTATCAAGAGCCAAACAAATTTATTTTGCAGGTCTATACTTAATCCGCAAATCCCTTCAACAAAGCTTTATCAAATTTCTGCAACTACAATAACAACAAAATAAAACTTATTAACAAATTCTCAATTTTTCTTACAGCTCTACAATCGAACGAAGTTCCGAGGAGTCATATGAGGATAACGCGAAAGCAATAAAGTCTATCGAACAAGACAGCTTGGACTTTTTCAGCAATGAAAAATCTAATGAAGATACCAGCGTTGAGCATGAGGATGAGGATTATGATTTTGATATATTGATATTTACACAACAATGGCCAGTGACTACATGCTACCACTGGCGGGAGGAGGACAACACGCATGCTTGCGTTTTACCCGAAAAGAAAGAATTCTGGACTATACACGGTGTGTGGCCAACGAAATTGGGACATATGGGACCAAGTTTTTGCAATAAAAGTGCCGATTTCGATTTGGATCAATTGGACCAGATACTGGCTAATTTGAAAACTTATTGGCCCACCATAGATGGACAACAGAAACTGGGTTATTTCTGGAAGCATGAGTGGCTAAAACATGGCACCTGCGCTGCATCACTGGAAGAGCTGGATAACGAATTGAAATATTTCCAACGCGGCCTGGCTTGGCGTGAACAGTACCTAATGTCGAATATATTGGGTAAAGCTGGCATACATCCGGATTCGAATAGCACCGTAATCGCTTTGCAGAAAGCTATCGTTCAATCACTCGGCAAGAATCCATCCATACATTGTGTTTATGATAATAAGCGGGATATGAGTTATCTGGAGGAGATACGCATATGTTTTACCAAACAATTTGAACTCACCGATTGTGATGGTGTACTACCGGGTGATGCGGTCCCTATCCTTTATCCGGGCGGCACTGTTATCACGAATTGCCATATTTCGAAACCCATACATTATCCTAGCAATGTGCCACCAACAATACGTCGAATGGAGGAGAAATGGAGATTCCCGGTGGTGAACGCCTTCAAGCTAGTACAATTCATTATGTGGTTTACGTTGTAAGAAGTAACTTGATACGCTTGACATTGAACAATGAACGAAAGGGCGTGCGAACACGAAAAGATATTTCTTATAAGGAACAATTATTGTCTTTGGTATAGATTACAAAAGCATTAAGGGATTTATACACGATTTGATAATTACGTACATACATATGTAGGTAGTTGAGAGCAAATTTGCAGATATGTATATTTTTTGTAATGCAAAAGAAAACTTTTAAGAGTTGAGGCATAGAAGTATGGTATAATGCAGGAGAGAGCGAAGTTTTATACATGATACACAACAGACGGACGTACGTACGTATGTATTTATGTATGTGCCGTATTTAGAAAAATATGAAATATATGAGCAGTACAAGCTCAGCATATATTATGACTAAATTTAGTAGTAAGTTTATATCAAAAAATTGTATTAATTATTTAAAATTATCATGAATTATAGTGGAAATTTCGTACCTAGTTTTTTTTTTGTTACTATTTTCTTGTGAATACACTATAGATTATGTTTACATGCAATAAAGTTAGGCATAAAATACAACAAACCACAAATTCGATGTTTTCATTTCTGAAGCTACAACTGAATACATAACCATTTTTATAATATTAAAAGAACAGACCATAAAGAATACATACATATAAGGAACAGGCCTGAAATTATATTCGCACAAGAGCTGTTATATCAAGATTTCTATACGAATTTGTTTTCTATCATTTTACCAAATAGCGGTTACCACAACAAAAAAAAGTATTTTTTGTTTTTGTTGCTGAAAATGTCGTTTTTGGGACTCAAAAGAGTGTATGCAAAGTGACCATGTGCAACTAAATTATTTAATTCTTCATAGAAAAAATCGTTTAAAATTCTTCAGCATTTTTGTTTTTATATTCATACTGGCTCTTTTATTTGAGCATACCTCACTAATACTACAAATTAGTTGAATATAAAACGCTACATTGAATTACAGCAAAAAATAATGAAATTATAAATGTCCATCTGTTAATCTGTTAAAACGGCTTTTATTTAGTCATAATAAGCACGGCAGATGGTACCAGACCGAGCACATCAAGTGGTGTATCGAAATCATCTCCTGTGAAAACTTTACGTGGAAATGTCGTCATCAAATTAAAAGGTGTCTCATCGCCGGTTTTCAGTTGTATGAAAACGCGCACGGCCGATAACTGTTCTTTAACATTGAACGTTTCCGTCAGTGTGGAGCCATCGCGCAAACGCACCTGTATGCGAGTTTGTGTGTAATCTTTTGGTGCCGCCTTGACAGCAGATGTGGACGCTGGCAACGTCACGGTAGGGGAAGTTACTGGTGATCTTGGCTCAATTTGGTTTTGTTCTCTAAATCATTATAAGTACTACTTTACAATTAACTATTATATCAGTATATAAAAAAAAAAAACTTCTATACCTGGCTTTCCGTGCTGCTTTATCCGCCTCAATTTGTGCACGTACACGATCTCTTGCTGCTTTCTCTTCTGCCTTTTCACGTTTACGTTGATCCACGATCTTTTTCATTTCTAGCTCCTCCATGCGTTTACGTGCTTCAGTCATATCCTTACCAGATTTTATACGATTTTTCTCACGTTCCAAGGCATCAGCTTTTTCACGTTCTTCCCTTTCGCGGCGTTTTTGTTTCAGCTTCTCTTCAATTAGTGCCAGTTGGGCTTTCTTTTCCTCTTCTGTAAGTGGTTTCTTTTCTTCCGTTGATTCAGAGAAATTGCTATGTCCAGTCTTGGCTGCATGGAATTCGACTTCAGTTTGATCTTTGCACAATCTTCCGCAATCATCGCATTTTAAAGACTTTGCTTCAGCGCCGGAAGAAGTGGCAACATCCGCTTGAGTAACCTCACTCCCACTTTCATTCGCTGCTGCTTCAGGTGCCGCCGCTTCGGCTGGTATATTTTCATCGGCGTGTGCTAGCAACCATTCCATTGCCGGTTCAACACCTTTATTATTGGTAATTTTAATTGCATATTCCCTATATAGAATTGTTTGATTAAATAATTTCTCATATGTAAATAGAACTGGTAATGACTATGGAAAATTTATAGAGCTGAAAAAAGTGATTTCAGGAAGCCGGCACATTTTTTAGTAAAGTTACTTACACCCTTTCTTTGGCGAATCCCATATCAATCAGAGTTTGAATATCTCCCATTATGAAGTTTTCGATTTATAACTGAACTTTATCGTAGAAATGTGGAAAAATTTATAAATTGTTATTATATTCTCGTTGTTGCAAAAACTGATGTTAAAAATCATCACCAACTTTACCAGATTATTCTAAATTCGTGTGTTTGTAAAATTTAGAAGTTTTTTGAATTTGTTTAGATTGAAATTTTGTTTCAAACTTTTTTGCAAATATTCCGTTGAACTATATTTATTCTTGTACATAATTTTTTTTAATGTAATGCCATTACTTATGTTAACAACATTTTTGAAAAGCAAAAAGTTTCTTAAGTTACACATATAACAGTAGGAGCAGAAAATCATTAGTTCTGAAAGCAGAAACAGAAAACCAAACGCATGATAACAATAACAGAAAATCGCTAAAATGACGATAAGGACAGAAACCTATACAAATTTGATAAATTTTTATAATTCCGTAAAAAAAAGCAATTTGAAAAACCATATAGGTATGTGAACAACGAACAAAATACGTTAAAACAGAAACAGAAGCTCACTTAAATGGCAACAGACAAGAAAAGCAGAAAAAAAATTCCAATTTAACGCATCGGAAAATGTGGTAGCACCACATTACCGCTATGTGTATGCGTCGCTCTAGAACAGCTGATTTTCAGCATTGTTTGGCGAAATACTTTGACACAAGTTTACAATTTACCGGTGCTCTTCTTATACAGACAAAATATTTTAATTAACAAATATGGAAGTTGGTGGCGTAGCCCACAGTTTGGATGGCAAAATACGGACAGAGGATGTTAAACTCAAAGAATTGGCACCGTTTAGCAAAATGCTGTTATCGGATGCGGTGCGTAAAGGTTTGCAAAAAACGGGATTTGTATACCCAACAGGCATTCAGGCAACCTCCATACCGATGGGTAAATCGGGATTGGGTAAGTGAAAAAAAAAAAAAAACGAAATTGGTGGTGTTTTTTGTAACGGTATTTTTCGTAGATTTACTTGTACAATCAAAGTCAGGCACTGGAAAAACACTTATATTTTGCACAATAATATTGGAGGCATACCGCATGGATCTCACAGAACCGCAATCGCTGATTGTAGCACCAACACGTGAGATTGCCGTGCAAATCGAGTTAGTATTGAATCAAATTGGCAGTTGCTGTAACGGTTTTCGTGCTGTCAGTGTTATTGGTGGATTAGATGTAGCAGACGACAGAAAGCGTTTGCATGGCGCCAAAGCAGTTGTTGGTACGCCCGGTCGACTGCTACATTTGATACAAAACAACGTGCTAAATACGTCGAAAATCCGTTTGCTCGTATTGGATGAAGCCGACAAAATGTATACACAATCA